CGTTCTACTAAGTCGCCCTGACAACAAGACCAAGTTGCGACAACAAGGTCAACCCACTTCTAGACTGAGTCAATTAGCAATTTAAAAAATACAAATCAACTTAGGTCATGACATCTGCTTCCAACTTTTCACTGGACTCCATCGTCTAGCTTGCACACCATTACGCAGATAAAGCTGTCTTTTTGTCTGTATGTGTGCTTATATGTGTGCGTATATGCATGTATGTCTGTGTCTATTCCTGTTTTTCCGTGTGTATAAATGTATATATTTTTATCTGTGTGTGTGTATGTGTGTGTGTGTGTGAATGTATGTCTGTATATCTGCCTGAAGGAAAGGTGAACTACAGCTCCGCTGGCCCAGCCAGGCACAGAGCCCCAGATCAGGGCACAACAAGCTGGAGTATGATGCACTTGTGCTTAAACCATCTGTCGTCGCCTTCCCTCTGAGGTTCAAATTAACGGATAAGGGGGGAGGGAGGGCGAGCAGCCTGGGACGGAGGGGGTAAAGAGCACATTGACGACGATGACGACGGTCACGATGATTACGACGACGATGATGGTGATGAGGATGAATGGCTGCGTTTTTTCGGCTAACACAAACTGACCAGTCGATTAAGCCGACTGGGCCAGGTCGGCGGGTGCTGATATTCAGGCCCTCTTATCAAACTGAAAATATTGACGCTTCGTTTGTACCCTTAATGTGTGCTAGCAGCCATTTGTGCACACATACATTATTATTACGGCCTATTTGTCTGCTTGCCTGTGTAGGTGTATTGGTGTGTTACTGTTCTGTTCTGGTCTGTTCTGTTCTGTTCTGTTCTGTTCTGTGAGCTTTACTCCGTCCATCATTCCATCACTTCTTCCTTTCATTTGTCCAGTTATGCGTGTTTCTTCTCTGCCCTGCATGTCTGCATGCGTGTGCAGGCCTTGACGTCTGTTCGTTTGTAGGTGGGCTCGAAGCGAGACCCTCACTCACTCACTCACTCTCTCTCTCTCTCTCTCT